CCAGCTCCCTTAGCACGTTGCTCCATGGGGACTGGGCCCCACGACATCATCTCAGCCGAGGTGAGCTCTGAGAGGATGCTGCACATCCTTGAACTACCTCAACCAGCCAGCCTGGTCCCCAGGACACAGACCACCGGTGTGCCCGTCGGCAGCAGGGCTGCAGTGCCGGCTGCCATTTGGCAAAGCCAACTGATTGCTGAATATAACGCAATGCTTTGCTGAAGAAGAGGAGGCTGCTGCAGGCTGAGCCAGACCTGGAGGAGGGCAGGGGGTGATGTCTGCGGGGTGCTTGGACACGAATCACGGCAAAGGGGGAACTGGTGCTGGAGGGAGCGGGAGAGCGGGGCTGGCTATGGGGTGGTGACAAGGCATGGGAAACAGCTTTCATTTCCATATTTATATAAACGCATCCAAGTTTAGTCCTTCTTTTATTTTTTTTCTTAAAAAATGGAAATTTCCATGAAAACATGTTAGATTTTTCTCCCTTCAGTTTTACTAATATTGTCATGGCAAGGTTCATCTGGTCTTGCTTCATTTCCAGTTTCTGATCCGCTAGGCTGATGCTGGGTTCGTGCAGTTGGCCTAGCCATAGCTTTGGGTCTGTGTTCTTTTTTTTAATTAAAAAAAGTTGCATTCTGAATTTTCACAAAAAGAACAGTTGAAGGAAAGTCTTCGTCCCCCCAAAGAAAGAGGAACAGTAGCAGGAGCATTTCGGGGTGTTTTGAGAGCACAGAGCCTCCACCCCGAGGACAGCAGTTGTCCTTCACTGTGCTTCCAGTCCTGCTGTATCTGAACATTGGACTGGGAAGGGGCAGATGGTGGCCACCACACAGGCTCCCCATCCCACCACTGCTCATGAATGGTCTCTGTGGGGGAAAAAGTGCGTCAATGTGCCAAATTTCCATGTTTTCACACAGTTAAAGACCTTTGGGAGTGCTTGTGCACTCTGGCTGCCAAGGGGTTAATGCTGCTGGTGAGATGCTACTGAGCTGGCGGTGGAGCTCCCTGCCTGGCCAAGATGCTGCACCCAGGAGATGTGTTTACACACAGACAGTCTGTGCTCCTCCTGCCCAACCCTCCACAAAGAGCCCTGCAAACCCAAGATGCTCCAAGCCCCAGGCAGGAGCTGGGTCGTGGATGGGACCTTGCAGAGGGTATGGGGCAGGGGGATGTGTCTGGGGGCAGGGGGATGTGTCTGGGGCCATGGGGGCTCTGGTCTGGGAGGGGGAGT